ATATTTTACCGTTTAGTTCTTGTATATCAAATTGTATTATAAGGAATTTCGAGGTTTGTGTTATATTGCATTTATATCTAAGTGTGTTATACCGTGGTGTGTTATATTGTATTTATATCTAAGTGTGTTATACCGTGGCCTTACCAAGGTGTGTTATACCGTAGTCATACCGCGGTGTGTTATACCATAGTCATACCATGGTGTGTTATACCGTAGTCATACCGCGGTGTGTTATACCATAGTCATACCGCGGTGTGTTATACCATAGTCATACCGTGGTGTGTTAATACCATAGTCATACCATGGTGTGTTATACCGTGGCCTTACCAAGGTGTGTTATACCATAGTCATACCGTGGTGTGTTATACCATAGTCATACCATGGTGTGTTATACCGTAGTCATACCACGGTGTGTTATACCGTAGTCATACCGCGGTGTGTTATACCATAGTCATACCGCGGTGTGTTATACCATAGTCATACCGTGGTGTGTTATACCATAGTCATACCGTGGTGTGTTATACCATAGTCATACCGTTGTGTGTTATACCATAGTCATACCATGGTGTGTTATACCGTAGTCATACCGCGGTGTGTTATACCGTAGTCATACCGCGGTGTGTTATACCGTAGTCATACCGAGGTGTGTTATACCGTAGTCATACCGCGGTGTGTTATACCATAGTCATACCGTGGTGTGTTATACCATAGTCATACCGTGGTGTGTTATACCATAGTCATACCGTTGTGTGTTATACCATAGTCATACCATGGTGTGTTATACCGTAGTCATACCGCGGTGTGTTATACCGTAGTCATACCGCGGTGTGTTATACCATAGTCATACCGTGGTGTGTTATACCGTAGTCATACCGTGGTGTGTTATACCGTAGTCATACCGCGGTGTGTTATACCGTAGTCATACCGCGGTGTGTTATACCGTAGTCATACCGCGGTGTGTTATACCGTAGTCATACCGTGGTGTGTTATACCATAGTCATACCGTGGTGTGTTATACCATAGTCATACCGCGAAGTGTTATACCATAGTCATACCGTGGTGTGTTATACCGTAGTCATACTAAAAAACATCAATTTTACCTGTCAACAAAGTTATAACAGGGAAACACTTAAGAGTGTACACGGTTTTGTTCTTTTCTTCATATTTGGAAATGTTTACTGAACATAGGTTATCTCTAGCCAGTCTTTGTACAACCGTGGTATGAAGATCAATGGTGTGAAAAGTATTTGTAAAATATAAATGAATTCCATTTTAGCAATACAGGTAAAAGAGATCTGGAGAACTTTATTTCCTGCCTTCAGCTCACTTCATAATTAGCAATATATAAAAAACACCAAACAGTTACACTGTCAAAGATACTGTAACAAGTGTAATTCCGTTACGGCGACTGGAAATTTTACTTCCTCAATTATACCTAAAATTCAAACTTAAAAAAAGATTAACAGCGCCAGAGGAAGTTAATGATAAAGTAAGTTATATAATGAAAATGGTTATAATATCGAGGAAGAATGTTATAATATTGACTTAGAAAGACAGCGGCATATCTTATCATATTCTAAGGACTAATGATTTAGAGGACATGACCAGTCATGATAATTGTGATAATCAACGTGTCGTACAAGAACAGTCACATTGAACAAAGAGTAACGTCTGTACGTATGTGTATATATGTGTGCTATATTTTCTATGTGTAATAAAGTGAACTCTTCTGAAAATAATGTCGCTACTTTTTCCTTAATTTACTTATCGTTAAACGACGTAATAGTGTTTATTTGAACAGCAAACGGTAATTAAATGACGTTGGTAAGATAATCTATTTGTCTTCGGACTGTAGGCAATCCTCGTTAAAGTAGTTTTGAATTAGATAAATTAATATTCACACAATGCATTCATTTTATTTACTATCAGGAAGAAAGCTGTAATGCCGATGTAAAACTAACATAACGAACATGGCGAGTTACAACAGACGATTGCAACCTGTTGTAAATAACGGACAAGACGAGGTAGACCATTGTACATTGTTATACATTATCAGTACATCTTTCTAAAGCAATGGAAAACACAGTCAATTTAAATAAGTCAGGTAACGTTTTCAGATATCAATGATGGAATCTCAAGGAATACAACAATCCATTTAACCGTAGACACAGAACTTCTAACTTATGCGAATGATAATTTTACGTGACATTGGCTGTTGTGCGGACGTTAAAATACCGTTAAATATTGCATCTTATTATTCCTAGATAACGACCGTCAGTTTGAAAAGACATGGAAACAACAACCAAGTTGCATTCCAAATAGACATCAAACGTAGAAAAGAACCTCCGTCTGATTTTTTATACTTACAACTATTTAATAGCCAGAGTTATCTGCTATTTCATGCCTTTCTCTACACGTCACAATGTGTGTGTACGTGTCCTGATGACGTAGTCAAGAGTTGTGAAGCAACTGTGATTGTGTACAGTGTACAGACCTTTCGTAACAACACAGGTGTCTGGTACCGAATAGTGATGGGAGGCAAGGGATCGGTTCAACTCAAGGGAGGTAACGTCTTTAAACCATATAATGTAAATTCATAGAATTACAACTTCATGATCGACTTTTTCAAAAATTGTCTATTGAGTATTTGTGTTGTACGTTAATATCATTGATTTTTTTCACTTAAGAGAGATTGTAAGCAGATACATATAAATAATTCATTTTAAAACAAAACAGGTGAAACAACTAACTACCTTATGGTCACTATACAGCCGTTAACAACATACTTAGACCTCCTGGCAGATGCTCCAAGCAAGGTATGCTATGAATTAAGTTTGGAAACGATTATAGGCGATCTTCTTTGACGGGAAACAATTACAGGGGACCGTCTTTGACGGGAAATGGTAACAGAGGATTTTCTTTGACGGGGAACGATTACAGATGGTCTTCTTGGACGGGAAACAATAACAGGGGACCGTCTTTGACGGGAAACAATTATAGATGGTCTTCTTGGACGGGAAAAGACAGGGGACTTTCTTTGACCGGAAACGATAACAAAGGACCATCGTTGGGTGTTCATTTTAATTTGATGCAACAGAAAAGTTTAGATGAGCTCCGAATACTGAAAATTGTTGAATTAATGTAGAGCAAGGCTGAACAAGTTTCACTCCTTTTCATACTTCATTTCTCGAAAGGAAGGGTAATGAGTTTTAGATATTGTGGAATGATGTTCTACACACACACACACACACACATATATATATATATATATATATATTTGTGAGGTTCACGTTTTGTGATTATGGTTACAGTGAAGTTTTTGATGAGGTTCACATTGCATGTTTGTGGATACTGTGGAGCCGTTTGACTTTATCTTCAGATCTCATATCCTGTGGATGTGGATAGTATTGGCCCACGGAAGTACGTTTTGACTAACCTAAAGAGCATTTGCCATCAAACGGAAGGCCTCATCGTTATCCTCCATCAAATCTACCCTCCTGACGCTTGGATCATAATGTTAAAACAAGGCTTAGCAACAAAGTTTGAAATACCCTTCGACTTGAACCCGGCGACAGAGTATAAATTACAACTGTTTAATACCGTTCGGTCACTCAACACCAGGGAGATGTACATTGGAAATTCTTTCTCTACAGTCATCACATTTACCACATGTACGTAAGTCTAATACATGTATAATGACATTCCTGTATACCAACAGAAATTTAATATCAATTCTAACAAAGGAACTTACAAGCACTACATTATAACTTCTTAAAATAAATATGAAACAAAATGCAGTATTATCTGATGAAATCAGTAGAGCTAGCGGAAGATTTACAGATTTGTCATCAATTCTGTCCTTGTGACTTTATTTCGGTTTTGATATCGTTTCGCGCAAAAAGATCATTGAGTTGATTCTACAGTTTACTTAAAGATATGAATGTGTTAGTGATACAGTGTAGATGTGACTGTGTTAGTGATACAGTGTAGATGTGACTGTGTTAGTGTGTACAATGTAGATGTGACTGTGTTAGTGTGTACAGTGTAGATGTGACTGTGTTAGTGTGTACAATGTAGATGTGACTGTGTTAGTGATACAGTGTAGATGTGACTGTGTTAGTGTGTACAGTGTAGATGTGACTGTGTTAGTGTGTACAATGTAGATGTGACTGTGTGAGTGTGTACAATGTAGATGTGACTGTGTTAGTGTGTACTGTGTAGATGTGACTGTGTTAGTGTGTACAATGTAGATGTGACTGTGTGAGTGTATACAATGTAGATGTGACTGTGTGAGTGTGTACAATGTAGATGGGACTGTGTTAGTGTATACAGTGTAGATGTAACTGTGTGTAGATGTGATTGTGACAGTGTATACAGTGTAGATGTGACTGTGTTAGTGTGTACAATGTAGATGTGACTGTGTGAGTGTGTACAATGTAGATGTGACTGTGTGAGTGTGTACAATGTAGATGTGACTGTGTTAGTGTGTACAATGTAGATGTGACTGTGTGAGTGTGTACAATGTAGATGTGATTGTGACAGTTTATACAGTGTAGATGTGACTGTGTTAGTGATACAGTGTAGATGTGACTGTGTTAGTGTGTACTGTGTAGATGTGACTGTGTTAGTGTGTACTGTGTAGATGTGACTGTGTTAGTGTGTACTGTGTAGATGTGACTGTGTTAGTGTGTACTGTGTAGATGTGACTGTGTTAGTGTGTACTGTGTAGATGTGACTGTGTTAGTGTGTACTGTGTAGATGTGACTGTGTTAGTGTGTACGGTGAAGATCAATATTTGTTTCTAATAGGGTTTTTGTTTAGATACATTGTATGTGACATGAAAATGAATTACAAAAGGCTAAAGAGGGGGAGACACATCAGCATTTTTGACTCAGTTATATTTATTTGAAAAGACAACAATCAAAGAAGCCTATGTAGGTTATAGACATGCAATATGTGCTGTCTTTGTTCACTATTTTACCTGTCTTTATATTGTAGACATGACACAGGATGAAGTGCGTGAATTATACGGAAAGGCTTTTAATTTCCTGTCGAGATTTCCACATTTTTCACACATTTCTCATTTTTATCGTAATAAGTCGGTGAGGTATTTCCAACAAATCAAGAGTACAGGTGGCGTCATGCACAAGTACATTAAGAACTGGGGAGGGGATCAGGCTTCAACACTCAACGGACAAATACAGGGTCTGTTCTTCAGTACTTATGTACACCCAGTGACACATCTTCCCCCAGACAGTTCATATTTCGGATCGGTGAGGCTACATGTCCCGACATACTTTCTGTTGAACTCAAACATGAACATGTACTTCTCTGACTTTTACTGTCACACTGTGAACCACAAAGTCCAGATTGTCCTTGCGGTCAAAGGCAGCCCAAGTGACCACTTCTGCAGACAACGACTCGTGTTGCTGAATCAATACGACAATCCGTTTCTCGTCAGGGTTCAATACGGATACAGAGAAACAGTGAAAGTAACAAACAATGTTATCGTGGAAGTGTTTTACACCGAGAACGTACCTATCAGGGACTTGGTGCTTAACGACAACGCGTTTTTCTCCCAAACAAAACAGACAGGAAATGCTTTGGCCATGGTAAACGGTATTCCAAAAAATAGAGACTGTCAAATTTGTAATTTAAATTGCTTTCTCCTCGCTCATAATAAACAATGATAATTCTTTATGTCGGTTATTGATATACAATCAAGCAGGAGGTTAGTAGGAGGAAACATCACTATGCATTATATCATAAAAAATATCTGTTACCTGTTAACTAATTATTTATATACCACAATGCAGATGCTTATATCAGTGTCATATATCACATACAAAATATAATTAAAAGGAAAGGGGAAGCGGTCTCTGAAGTTCAACAATTCTCTTCTGTTTGATACAGAATATGTTAAATTAGTTAATGATACTATTACTGATACAAAAATACAACATAGTTTACCTGTTTATAATCACATTCGGATAAATGATATACAGGAGGAAAATTTACAGTTTAACATTGGTGATCAATTATTTACTGAAACTCTTTTAATGAACATTAGTGGTAAGACAATTTCTTACTCTTCTAATAAGAAAAGCAGAGCGATTTGAGAGAAAATGAGTAGATATAATCTGTACACATCTAGAAATTCAGATAAATATAGAATTAAGTGATAATGACAAGAAAAAAAAAAAAGATTTAGAAACTATTCGTCTTTATAGATTAAAAAGAAGATATAGAGTGGGAAGTGGAAAGAGAAGGAAAATCCTTCCAGTTACTTTTTTAACCTAGGGAATAGTACATATATTTAAAAAATAATCCGGAAATTTTAGAGAATGTCTGATACTTTTATAAATATCTATATCGTGATAATAAAAACTTAAATGACATTGACCTAGAAATTTATCTTAATTTAAATAACCTACCTAAATTCATAGACTCGGAATCAGGAATCAAAGTCTACAGTAGGTTAAAGCTCTCTCAAAGAAGCAAGTATGTTTTTGGAAAAAAATATGTAAAATAATAAAAGTCCATGATCTGATGGATTCACTGTGGAATTTTTCATTTTTTTCTGGATTAGAATTGGTAAATTTGTAGTAAGATAACTAAAAGCTTTTTAAAAGGTAAACTATCAATATCTCAGTGACAAGGGGTGCTAACAGGCTTTTCAAAAAGTGATAAATCTAGAATTTTTTTCTAAACTGGCGTCCAATATCATTACTGAATGTAGCATATAAAATGGCATCAGTGGTTATCTCATACAGAATAAAAATTTAGTTATTATTAGACTGAGATTTGATCTGGAAGGTACAATTGGGAGAACACATGTTAATTATATCATGTCATGAAAAATGAAGAAAAAGATATACCTGGTATGATTTTGATGATAGATTTTGAAAAAAACATTCGACTCTGTGTCTTGGAATTATATTAGAAAAGACTTGATTTTTTGGCTTTGGTAATGATATTTCAAGATGGTTTAATACATTACGTAACAATGTTTCATCTACAATTAACCAAGGAGGGAACTTTAATAAGCTTTTTTCGAAATTAAAAGATCTTGTCATCGAGATGAACCAATTGCCCCCTATATCTTTATTATGTGTGTGGAAAGTTTAGCTTTAACTTTGAGGAAAAACAGTCACATGAAAGAATTTAGACAAATAATTCTGAAACCCTAATATCTCAATATGCATACGATACATTTCTTGTACTAGATGATTCAGAGAAGTCACTTCATGAAACTCTCATTGAATTAAACAGATTTGCAAATGTATACAGCTAAAAAATAAATGTTTATAAAACTGAAATGATTTGAATTGGTAGCAAGAAATGCAGTAAAGATAAAATGCTTCCCGAGTTTAATCAGCAGCGGGGAAAATCAAATTTACTATACTCGGTATAGAATTCGATGTAAACTTAACATTACAAGCTGAATTTTGATATAAAAATAGAAAAGTCTAATCGCAATCTGGACAAAAAGGAAATTAACTGCAATTGTTTTGATTAATGTAATTAAATAATTATTGATATTCCAGTTCTATCGTTTGTTTATGTCCCTTCCAAACCCCAGTGAAAAGATGAGTAAAGAAATCAATACCATACTTTAAAAACTTTTATGGAATAGTAAAACTGATAAAATAAAAAATATTGCGATGGCGGATTGAAGATGGTTAATTTGTATATTTTTATTGACTCTCTTAAACTTGGGTGTGTTAGGAGACTATGAAATCATTCAAAGGGAAAAGGAAAGGCCAAATTGATATGGTGTTGATGAATTTCGGTGGTGAATGTATATCAAAATATTGTAATATATGTACTAACAAAGTTTGTGTTTGAAGCTTGGTACAAATTGAAAATTGAATAATTCAAAAGAAATTGGAGAACTTGAGGAAAGGTCACTTTTAACCCAAAATATCTGGCATAAAAATGTATTGCTACTGCAGGTAAATCAGTCTTCTATCATTTATGGTATACATCAGGAATACGCATTCTTTCAGATCTGATCAAGAATACAGATAACTTTTCCTTTCTATATCTTTGAAGTACTTTATGAAAAATATCAACTTCATACAAATTTTCTTCAAGTTCAGAGATTAATTTCTGGGATTCGGAAATTTCTGCCAGACCCTTTAACAAAAAATTTGAAACCAGTTATTCGCCATTTCTTAGATAAAAATATAAAGATCTATTTGCAAAATATATTTAGTATCCAAGTTTATCTAAATCATTCTTAATCGAAATAATATCATAGCTACTGGCAGAATAAAATGGCAAGAATATAAGAGAATGGAATAAAATTTATACAATTCAGTATAAAGTCACAAAAAATACTAAATTTCAATGGCTTCAATTTCGAATACCACGCCATATTCTTCCCACAAATTCTAAACTATTTAAAGTCGGTATAGTTGCTTGTTCGCTGGATTCATTTTTCAATTCAGAAAGGGAAACTATAAATCTTTTAATAAGGGAATGCCAGAAAGTACAAAATCTGAAAAGTCTAAAAACACTCCTAGATGCTCTTTATATATCAATAAAAAACAATCCTTCTTATTCAGGTTTATTTTTAATGCTGATGATGTAATCATTCTAATCATTAGACAATATCTTTCTGTGGAAACAGATGCCTTAATAAGTCTTTAAATATCAACGCTTTAGTCAACAATTGCAAAAATTACTATAACTTACAGAAGTATACAACAAAATTGACTTTTGAAAGAAAACAATTAGAAAAACCTGGAGTAAATGGTAAAACCTAATTCAACTTGATATCTAAATATTTCCAACTAATTATCCTTGACATTCCTCAAGTAAAACAGCCCCTACCTCTCACATCTCCATCCCTCTGCTTCTCATCTCCCATTTCCTCCAGTTGATCAAAATCTAATATTTTTGTTACTTTTTTGTCCTCGATTTCATTTCTGTATATATTAGATTCTGTAATATGAAAGTATGTTAATGAAGTATGTTTTTGCATTGTGTGTAAGCATGTTACCTCTATGTACAGGTCAATACTGAATGTGTGAGGTGTGTTTATATGTGAACCTTTTTAAAGATGCAAATCACGTAGTTGTTTTTTTGTGTGATACAATGTGAATTAAAGATAATAATAAAAAAAAATAGAAAAAAGGAAATAATTAGTTTTGATATTTGTTTTTATAGATGTATAAAATTTCATTAATCACAGGTAAATACAGTACAAACTGTCACTATTAAAGTATTGATTTACTTTGAAGCATTTTTCTGTCGTAATATCATGGACATACGCAGGCAAGGTATCCATTATTTACAAAGAGTATGATATGCTTGGAACATATATCAAGGCAGGTGGAAACAGGAATCTGAATTTACCATCGAGAGACGTAGAGAGTAATACAAACTGTCCCTCGTTGCTTAATTAAACAGTAATTAGAATTTTTTTTAAACAAAGGTTAATTTAAGTTAGCCAGAGGTTTGAGAAAAAAGTTTGTGGCACAGAAATACAAAAATATTCAAGGCAAAATGAAAAATAAAAATCAATCAATCTGGCCTGTCTTAACAAATGTACAGCTGTGAAATGATATGGAACGATAAAGATTATGTTTCATTCATGTTTTGAAAAAATGCACTAGCCACGGCATAAAAATAACTAGTGTGCATTCTTTGCCGAAGTATACCTCTTTATCTACATGTGTAGTGTATGATATGGGAACGGTTTAGTGTTGTTGTTGACCTTATGTTATCCACCATGTTTGGTTATTGTACACTGTACGAATTTCAGCTGGGTTTTAAAGAAATTATTATCTAAAAAGACAAATACACGAGACCAGGTATGGTATTTTTTTGAGGAGAGTTGAGATATTACCGGTAAGCTACCTGTAAACATGCTCCTCGTCGGCCAAAGATATGATGGTACATGTTTAGACCTAATACAACATACCAGAGGAAGGACATTGACGTAACACTGAGGTAAGCTTGCTATCACTATCAGTTGTTCGTGTATAGATAATCAAAATATACATTTTTTGTCATATGACTGATATCAAGACAAAAAATTCTTTCCTCTGCTATTACTTCCTGTTACATAAATTTGCTAATATTGTCACAGCACTGGTGAGTGGTTCGTAAACAACGACCATGGAGTTACCCGAGTGGTATGAAACACTCCTTACAGAATAGATTATTGTTATTGAGTGACAAAGGATTGCAATGGATGTATGAAGTCCCAAGTGACGAAATATCAGGCAATAAGTGACTTCCTAACTCAAACAAACCATAACAGGGAGTGAAAAAAAATCATCTTGTCGTCTATATAACCTAACACTTCCTTATTTTCTGTATGATTACCTGTACTTGTAAGGTGTTCTCGGTACTAGAAACTCTTGGCTCAGTATTGATAACATTATGTCACTATACAGTACAATTGGCACAAGGATTATTTTCTTGTGAGAGTGATTGATGAATGGTTTGCATGAAAATCATCTAAATATTGCTATTATTGATATAGAATATTCCAAAACAATGATTATATACCTAAAGTCTTGAGAAGATATAAACAGCATATAAAATATATTGGACACAATTTATGTTATTGAGAGATATTCTGTGTCTTTGTGCAATATGAAGCTGTACGTAATTGGTGTTATTTCTATTTTGCTCATGTTCTTTGTTTTTATTGAATTGTTAAATTGTTTATATT